CTTAATGAAGACCAGAAGAAACAAAATTCCAGCAGGATGTGGAGGAGAAAGTTATTTTCTCAAATTCCAAATAAACCTTACATGGTTTGGCCTAAATGGGTCTGGGATGTTCCATAAAACTCAACAAGAGCAAGTGAAACATGACAGCAATAAATTCTGGGGAACAAAATAAATGGCAAAGAGTGTCTTATAAATGTGAGCTGTTGCTGTCTTTGTGGTCAACCTGGTTTTAGGGTGGTTCTGTTTATGAGTTGTGTACATCCATATTGTGTCTTTGGTTGTTCAGTGATGATTGCTGTTGAAGAAGGCTCAGTTCAAGCTGAATTGAACAGGGCAGCCTTCTCCAAGCGGGAGCTCTTCAAGATGGTAGAGGGGGATATCTGCATGGAGGTCAAAAAAAATCAAGATTGACCTCACCCAGCAGTGTCTGCAGGGAGGAGGGTCAAAAAAGGCAAGATGGCAGCCACAGCCATGCAATCAGAGCCCCAGCCTTTTTTGCATGTGTCATGTCGTGTGGCTCCAATCGCACGCTTGTGGTTGTCGTCTTTTTTGAGCCCTGTGCTGGAGACCGCAAGTCCCAGATTCCCATAACCAGCAGAGCCTAACCTTAAGTCTAGTTGGTTGCCTAAGACTCTGCCCGTTTTTTATCTTTAGTTACAACAGATGATTTATTAAAGAAACATTTTAAAAGTTGAGCACATGGGCGTCTGCCACAGCTTCCTGCTTTGGTCGAAATGACAAATGCACCACCAGCACGTGCGAGTCGAAAGGGGTGGGGCTTGTGACACAACAACACAAAAGCTGTTTGCGTCCTTCTCTTGCCGCTCCCGTGGATCCTGCAGCCAATGAAGATGGGGAATTGGCCTCTTTAAACTGGACCAAAGTGAAAATGTACAAAAATCTTCACCTTCTACTTGGAACGGGAAGAGTCTCATATATCTGTATTTGGTGGCTGAAACAAAAATATTATTTCAACCTTGCTGATATTTAAGTTTAATTTATTTCATTCCAAATTTCCCACTATTAGACCTCAATTACTCCAGCCGAGATAAATTGAATGTAAGCAGTTGCTATAGAAAAGTCCACAGATCAAATCCACACATCAAAATTCTCCAGCAGGTTATTCTGATTTTTTGTTCTTTTACTTTGGGTGATTACAAAAGCTAATAGTGAAATTGTTCTACAGATGAAAAACCTTGCATTCAAAGGCCAAGAAGCCCTTCTTGCACATCTCATCTGTAACTGCAGCCTCAGTGGTCTGTCCATCTGCCCTTCCTTCCTTCCCTCCCTCCCTTTCCTCCCTTTATTCTTTCTTTCTTTCTTTCTTTCTTTCTTTCTTTCTTTCTTTCTTTCTTTCTTTCTTTCTTTCTTTCTTTCTTCTTTCCTTCCTCCTTCCCTCCCTTTATTTCTTTCTAATTTCCTCCTTTCCTTTCCTTTCCTTTCCTTTCCTTTCCTTTCCTTTCCTTTCCTTTCCTTTCCTTTCCTTTCCTTTCCTTTCCTTTCCTTTCCTTTCCTTTCCTTTCCTCCCCTCCCCTTCCCCCTG